CCCCCCCCCCTTGAAAACAAGGAACAAAAAGTGCTTGGGCTGCTGTTAGTTCTTTTCGAGACGCAGAGAGAACTAGAAAGTCATCAGACTGAAAAGTGTCGACTCAATTGAGACGGCCTTCACCCGTGACCAAAACCGAAAAAAAAAACCCTAAAATTTTTCCTGACCTCATGCATGAATGGGACAACTTTATCACTTTTATACTTTTAAATTTAAAAAAAAAGACAGTCCAATAATTCTTGGACAACTCTTCATTCAACAAGTAAATATAATCACTAAGCAAAGCATACGCTGAAATAAGCAAGTATTTTTTCGTAGTGAAAGGCGCAAATTTCCAAAAAGAGCGGAAGGGAATGTTTGGAAAATGCTTTCTAATCAGACTCTTTATTTAAAATTCGGTGACTGTGGCCAGAGGGACCTAAACAAGGAAGTCGACGCCACGGTTTTCGCAGTTCGGGTTGGAAACTAAAAATAGGTGTACAATGCGCAGCCGAGCCGAGCCAAGTCTTAGTAATTGCTGTTGCCTGGTAGTATAAATGGCTCTGCACACGAGGGAGGCCGGTGTGCTTACAGAGTCCTGTTCAGGGGAATCAAACTTCCTTTTATACTCCATATGAAAACTTAAAGCAGTTAAACAAATTTGGCGCCATTTTCTGTTCTCCCTAAATTACTGCATGCTTTGAATCACTGATGACATGCACGAGGCTAGCTGGTGTGACCACGCGTTTTTGCACTGCTCCGTGCTGTAGTAAGATCGCTTGGTGGATGTACTTCTGCCTTATTGCTTTTGAGTTTTGATTTATATTGACAGAAGTTGAAAGAGACCGGAAGTTAAAGGACAGGAAGTTGCTGATGCGCGAAAGAAGCCTCACGAAGAGCATCAATCATCCCTTTTGAACACTAGCTTTGCTGCATTGAAAACGAATGTCGATAGTACTGGGCTATCACTGATGTTGCAATTTGCATAATCATGGGAAGTGTTACATAAGTTCAGATTTCGCGCATAAGCAGAAGACACTTTCCGAATTGCCACTTCTCCATACGCGAGATCTGGACTTGAATGTAAGACGATCTGCAAGTGTTTCTCTCGCGCACCATCATAGATCCAGAAAATTCCAGCTTCCCGGCTCAGCTAGCTTCCGAAATCATTTTTCCCCAAAATTGGTTTGATGCGCTGTACGCGACTGCTCATTCCACATCTACGGATTCACTCACATATAGCAAATACTCGCGTAAAATTACAGGAACTCACTCAGCCTAACCCCTAAACTAGCATTTCGCCAGCTATCGTGAAGTCGGACTTGACGAGGGAGGCCGGTGTGCTTACAGAGTTTTCGAACACACTACATAGAGGTGTGCTGGAGCTGAACTTAAAATCTTATATAAATGCACAGAATTTTCCTGTGGCGTTTCAACTTCCTGCCTTGCCTGTTCCCCGAAATCGCTTTCCCGCCAAAAATTGACATAAGTTTCTTAAGGAGTCCGTACATGAGGCCCAGGAAAAGGAAAACGATGATTTTAAAAATGAAGCATTGCGAATCGAGTGGGAAGATAATCCGAAAATTTCAGCTTCCTAGCTTCACGAATTGCAGAGTTGAAAGTAGGTGACAAAAATGCAAACATACACGCAGACAACAGCCTTTTGTCAATATGCGTTTTTGCGTTTGCATGTGCAAAAACGCACAAAAACAGCTTCGTGTTTGTGGTAGTTGCGTAACCCTAGAACTATCTTTCTGATTCTGTGCTTCCTCCTAGTAAGCTTGTTTCCTACTAGCTTCTTTCTAATACCACTTGTCTCAGCAAATTTATAATTTTAGATTTTTTAGAATTTCAGTTTCTATAAGCCGTGCTTTCATGAAAAACATACTCTCGCTTCATCAGGCGTAAAACCAAGAAGACGTGTCAACAGAGCACTGTCCACTACACAATCAAGTGCATCGCATGTGTTATCCGAAATCCGAGCTGTTGCCATCCATTCTGATGCAGCAAAATTTAAACTGTTCAGCAAAGTACAAGACACTGGCTGAAAATCACTTTTTTAGACTAAAATATATCACTTGGATTTAAAGCCCCCTTATCCTTCCCCGTTTTCCACACTTGTATGACTACTGTCTGCTTGTTTGTTTGCGTGTGTGTGTGTGTGTGTATGTTCGGGTGTTTGTATGTGTATGTTGTGCATATATGCGCGTACTTTCTTGCATACATGTGTGTGTATGTGTATGTCTACGTGTGTGTTTCTTGGTATACTGTGAGTCCTCGAACTGCTAAAGTACAGCAGAAGCAAGAGTATATTACTTCACTGAGAAATGATAAAACGATTTTGCTCGGCACAAGAGAACAGAAAAATGTTGGCGGAGCGGCTAAAAGAAAATGGTCGTCGTTGTCTCTAAAATGCCCAAGCGGAAGATTTCAGCGATGAAAAATCACCTGTACTCGTTTACGATGCGTGATAAAGCAGTACTTCTGCAACTGAATCGCTTCTGATAACGAAACAATATTCAGAGCGCGGTATCGCACCAAAATTGCATCTCGATTTGAGACGGACGGAGGAAGCAAATGTTCAAGACGGTTCCAAATCAGTGTGCAAATACGTTCGTTGTTAGCATGGTCCTGCGAAACTGAACGCAAATTCGGCGTCAAAAACGCCTGAAGGATAAAAAACTACAAGACTTTAGCTAAAAAAGCTCCATTATCTTGTTTTCAAGACACCTCAAGCTTTGCAACCAAAACCAACAGGTTCGCTTGAATTTAAGTGCGAAACGACTTTCTGCAGTCACGGTCAACGTAGCGAATCAGTATTATCGACCAGCGTGAAATTCCAAATAAATGAGTTTCTTTTTTTTTTTTTTGAAAGACTGCTATTTCTCCTCTTACTTCTTTCACCAAAAACCAAAATCAAAAATGAAGTTAAAAAGTCATGAATAAAAACCTGATCCGCAGGTTTAAATGTTTTGTGATTGAACAAGATTAAAGGCGACTGGTCAACCGG